TTTTATTTATTTATTATCATTATTTATTTATACATTTGTTTGCACTTTCGAAAATCTTTTTTTACATACATACATACATACATAATTTAATTACAATTTTATTATGTTATTACACACAAATATCCTTTTTACTTGTAAGTCTGTGTGTGTTTGTTTTACATGTCCGTTGGTATTTGTATTCGTTCTCCACGATTTAATTATAACTATTCATTATTATCTACATATATTCAGTATAAGTACTGCTTATATAATGCATAGATATATATACGTAAGTATATGTATAGCACCTAAAGTTTTTTGCCCCTAGGACATAGATACATACCGCACATTTGCTACAAGGGTGTCATAATAAAAAAAAAACAAAAAATGTAGTTAAGTATGCAGAAATGAGCTCCACCTCTTCTTCTATGTTTTGTGTAAATAGCTATATCGATTAACGATAGTTCATTAGAAGAAAAGAGGTCTTAATTTTTACTATGGGCGCGTAAGTATTCTGTAAACTTAAAGCCATTTTTCTCGAATTTTGAATTTTTTGGATAATGGCGCTCTTGCGCGAAATAAGCGATGTGTACCTACATAGTTATGTATATACATACATATACATATATCTTCATTACCTAGGCAAAATGTAATTGTGAAATTTTTTTTAATCTCCATTTTTTATATATTCTAGTAGCAGGTGACAGGTAATAAGATCAACGGAAATAAGGTCAATTGACTTTATTTCCCACCCTGGTGCGAAATAAAGTCAATTGACATTATTACCTTTTTAAAAACGAAATAAAATCAATTGACATTATTTCTCTTTCAAACATTAAATTTGCTTANTGTCAATTGACTTTATTTCGCACCAGGGTGGGAAATAAAGTCAATTGACCTTATTTCCGTTGACCTTATTACCTGTCACCCTAGTAGCATGGGTTCAAATATGTTCTCTTACACAAATCCTTAGATATATTTTATATATTATTATAATTATTGGTATCTTAAGAATTTCTCCAAAATAATTACTAATGTATATTCAAAGATTTTAAGGTTTCCCCCATACGATTTAAACTTTTCTTTTAAGTAATTTAGCGATGGTAACGCTAATATATTTAAATACCATACCATATACTTAAAAATAGGCCAGAGTGAACGCTGGCGCCTCTTGTTCCTCGTGGTACCTACCAGAACTAAGTCTCCGGTTAGACCTCGTAGCCGAAGCAAATAACAGTTCAGTTTCCATATCACTCTGGACGTGTGAGCATCGACGCACTGCTTACTCTGCACATCTACACCTACTGAAAACTTCATGCGCAAAGCCCACAATATTTGTCACTGTCCAATGCAGTGTCGAATTCGTACCGTCCCTCTGTCCATTTTATCCCAATGCTGTCGAGACTCCTCGCTTCCGAGTGAATCGGGCAATCTCAGAGCACGTGTTCAAAATCTTCAGTCTCCGCTACACACTCACACCCTTCAAAATCGTGGAGGTTCCTCTCGTGCAAGACTACATTAAGAAGTCTGTGTCACGTCAGGAGAAAACCCAGACGACCGTTGAGGCTACTGTTCCCAGCTGTGGGGCAAAGCTTATGCGCTCACCGATAGGCAGCGCCAAACACTTGACTTGCGTCACATAACTAAGACTGACCCCGTTAGTGCGAACCACTGATGTACGTCCTAACGACAGCCTGCCCTTGAGCAGTATATCTTGTCCACTCCCATATGTAGCCCCAGCTTATGAAAACGTGAAGTAGCTGTTTCATCTTACGCTCAGTTTCGGCTCTAGACTGGCCCTTTACCAAGACGAGAAGGTCATCCGCATATGAACTGAAGCCACAGCGCGGCTCAAGCTTCTGAAGCAGAGAATTCACAATATGGACCCCCAGATGGACCCCTGCGGTCAGCCTCGAGCGATCCCAAACTCTGCAACACCAACCATGGTGGCTCCTGGGTCAGAGAAATAACTCTGTCAGAGAGCTGTATCCGCGCACCCAAGCTGATCCAAGCGCTCAAAGAGACAGTCCCAACGCCGGTGATCAAATTGGGACGATTTATTAAAATTAATTTTCCAAACGCTAGTAGCGGCACCTCCAAATCTGTTTAAAATTTTTAAATTCTTGTATGGCTTTAGATGTGCATGTTTTAGGGACCACTTTAGTGTACATACGTATATATATTTATGTAGATTTGTAGAAGATTAATTTGCTCCTATGAACTTTAAAGAACTGCGTAGAAAGTATTTAAGGAATCTGAAAATTGTTTATTTTTGCAAAAATCTTCTAAGCTATTCTCAATATATTTGCAACGGCATACCACTCATCAAAGCCGGGCAACAGTTAGAAAAAGTTATGACGAGAATATAGCTTTAGCTGCTTTAACAGGATGCCGAAGTCCTTTTTACGTTCTTAAAATACTTTCACGCCCTTTAATCAAAATCGCTAGGAACATTTTATAATTGTTTTCTTGCAATACATAGTGATACGGCCTAACGTACATATATACACACATACTAATACTTGAACAATATAACAATCAATTATGTATTTATTTGCGGCCAGGCCACCACCAAAGATTTTAAATACATTTAAAATTTTCTAAATTTTTTTTTGCGGACAGGCTCTTCACTTTATCTCGTACTTAAATACATACGCGTATGTATATAAAAAATGCGAGTGTAAACATATTTAATTACATAACTTTATTACACCTACGTATTCTTCTTATTTCAAAGACATTGTATAACAAGAAACTGTAGTATTTTGTAGTGCTTAATTATATTTAAGTGTATTTGTTTGACAAAATCTGTAGCTGTTTTTGTTATTTGTTTAAAACTATAATAAAGTATAATTTTTATATTTCTAATTAAGATATTCTCATTTATTTAAACTTGAAGATATTTCGGAAAATAAAAATATTTTAATGAAAATAATTGCCAAACTAAACACAAGCTTATAATTTTTTTACTCGTGGGCATTCATATTTTTTTTCTTTGAGAAACAAGCTTTTATATACTATTTGGAATTTTGGACAACGGAGAAGCTGCATTTGAATCCCATTTCGAAAAACTAGCAGATTAGATTCAGTATTCTGTATTGAAACTTCAGTACTTTTCGGTACACTTTTACTTAACGGAAATAGCACTCAACATTTCACATTTAACAAAATACTATTTGTATTTATGTATAAAAAAAAATTATTTTCCAATCGAAACTTGTCACGGAATTGGACTGGTATGATAGTTACATACATATGTGGATTTGTTTTGCGTTTTCTTTTCATTGTGGATTTTCTTTCTTTGTGGAACAATTGAAAATGATGAAAAATTCATGCGAAAAATACATCAATCAACTTTCCTTAAATAAATGTTGTGGATGTATTTTCACACCCTTTTATTGAATATATTTACCATCAAAAGAGGCGCCAATTTGTAAGACAAAAGCTGAAAACGAATGAAATGAAGAAAAGTCTTATTTTTTGTTCGTAGTAATACAATTTTACAATACAGGGGGTCCTAGAACACCCATCTATGAGGGTCACCAAAATGTCTTTAGACTAGCTAAGGATAAAACGAATTTTGTCGGTAAAAATATTAATCTTGTTTTTCGAAATATTTTCCAGAATGATTGATGCACTTTTGCTTACGCAAAAATCAATTGACGAAACATTTGTCCGACAGTGATATGGTTCAAAGTCATGCTTTTGAACGCGTCTACTGGCCATACAAATCGTTGCCCGCGCAGTTTTTTCTCGATGATTGCTCACAAAAATAAATATTTAGCTGAACTACTTTGGACCGAACTTCTGCCATCTTTTGTAAATTTTTCTTTGGAAACAAACCGGCTTCGACCTTATACCATCTTTGGAGCCATTTTTCGTTTTATTTAGGTGCCAAATCAGTTCGATGATTATGTGCCTAAAAATGATTGCGCGAATAAAATTCTAAAACGCTCTTACCGGAACGGATGTAATTGTTCCCAATTTGTAAAACGACTTCGTATCGACGTCGTTTTCGACTCGTTATAGGGAACAATTTGTTTGCGCAAAGACGTCTCGCCAGCGGGCCATAAAAACGACTGGCCGGGGGGAGGGTCCCAAAAATGATTCGCCGGGGAACCGCAAAAACGATGCTCAAAATCTTTAAGAAAAACCGTATAAATCCCATTTCAAATAATGTGCAATATTTTAAAAATAAAAACAAACACAAATCTTCAAGCTTTTTTAAAAATTTCCAAATTATAAATCTGAATTAAAGAAAAAAGTATAAAGTAATTTCATCGCTTATTAAATTTGAGTGTAATGTCAAACAATTCCTTTTAATTTAACGCCGGCTAGAGATCAGGGTGTTTATTGTATTAAAACGCATAAAAAAAAACATTATCAATTTTGTATTGATAGAATGAATCCGGTTTGGGGTCGTTTCGAGTTTACCCAAACGACTTCACCACAGCAGCCGCCGGTAAAATTTTCCTACTAGTTTTGGGTGTCCTGATAAAGAGTTTAGTTATTTAATATTTCGCTCAACACTGATTTGGTTATATTTAAGTGAAGTTAGTTGAGGTAACTGACTAAATTTCTCAATGTGCTTTAAAATTAATTTTTGTTTTAAAATATCAATATGTCAGCTTTTCATTTAATTAATGCATTTTAAAAGCGTTACCTAAACTCTAAAATGTTTCACGGTAAAATAACTTGTATCAAAATCAAAATAAATGCACCTAGATAATAAATGCAGCTTTTATTAAAGTTTCTTTTTTTAACGTGTATACACATAAATATTATATAAAAAATTTCTTATTTAAACGTAATACAAAATACAATTAATTAAGTTTCTATGTATAATAAATATTGTGCTTACTAAATTTTTTTTGGAATAAAAGTCTTTTTTTCAGCAGAATAAAAATGCATTAAAAGCGCCACAGCATTGCTTGCGTATAAATAAAACGATTTTTTGGTCAATTGTTTTTTTTCACAAATCAAAAATTTACACGTGACTACTGCGTATACGAACTTGTTTATGTATTGGTATTTAATTGTTTACATAAGCTTATTCATATATGCATCAACATAATAACTACTTATTTACAAATATTTATTTAATATCAATTCTTCCACAATAATTAACACCTAAATTATTTTTGTTTCTCGTTTTCCATTTTCATTTTCATTTCCATTTAAATTGGTTTTGCCTTACTTTCTTCTTACTTACGCTTAATTAACTTTGTAAGTGTAAAACACGATTAACAATATTCAATTACAAACATGCAAATATTACATACATATTTATGTAGTTACATGCATACATACTCGAAAAAGCTTATTTAAAAAATGTTATTTACTTATTGCTCCGCCTTCGTGTGTTTTTTTTCCGCATTATTTTCAACTGCAACGCCGCTCTTTAAGCTTTTCCTAATTAACTTAATTAACATGTATGTATGTATACATACATAGAGTAATGTTTGTGTATGTATGCAAGGGTGTTCGTGTGTATCATCACTTATGTAAACTGGCTTAAAATATTGTATGTATTTTAACTATCGCTTTATAGCGTGTTTCGTATGTTTTTTTTTGTTTTTGTTTTGGTTTTTCACTTGGCTTCTTCCTTTGCAATTAAAAGCTTTTGTTGCAGCGCCTATAATTATGCTCCATTTTCTTGTTTTCGTATTTTATGGCGAAGCTGTATGTATCGTAGTAATTCGATGCATCGACAGCCATCCGCAATCGCTTCAGGCCCAGCCTCCCAGAGTCAGCTAGGGCTTTCTGCTTCTTCCTCTTTACTGCATTAATTCATTCGATTTGAAGCGATTGAACTATCTTCCGGCGATGGCTGCTTGTTTCAACCTTAATGTGTTGTAAATACTCACTGCGCTGGCTGCCATGTCGAGGAGGAGTGCCTGTGAACGCCATACAGCAGCTGCCAATACTGTCAATTTCAATGGACGCGCTATGCTGTCGCCCGATAGTGCACCCGCCGATGCGGAGGAGGTGGCTGAGGAGAAGTACGTCTCGAAGAAATTACGCAGACTGGAGCCGGATGACAATGTCACTGTATAAATAGAGAGAGAGAGAGAAAAGAAAACACATTTAATAAGGCAAAGGCGAAGTAGATGGATGATAATGAAACTCATTGAATTGAGCGTAAAAGACAATGTATGAAATTAAAGAATGGCCAAGAGATTACAAGTTAATACAATGGCTGGATAAACAATGACCAAGACAAGTAAGAAAAGTCTGATCGAAATTGAAATTGGTTGGAGGGCAAAAATCTTCTCTTTAAAAATACAATGCAAAATTATGTAGCTACATAATTTTTTTTATAACTGTGAAAGCGAGTTTCATAGTCCATTAAATTTTTGTATATTTAATAGGGTGCAAGTTTGAAGTTGTTAAGAATTCACATTGATTTTTATTTTTATTATTGCCAACAGTACCATTTATTAAAAATCAACGCGATTTTTTAACTCTGTAGGGACGCTAAAATGACAAAAAAAAAAACGCCGAAATACGGAAACATAATTTTGGGTCGTATATTTCGGATCTATGCATAATTTGTCTAGATTAGGTAATTTTCCCAAAATAACTTTATTTCCTGCTTCTATTTCTTACAAACAATTATGACACATTTTCGTTTGGCCATTCAAAAATTGTTTATTATCCATCCTTTTCCTTGTTAAAGTTTGATTATTTTTCATGAAAATTAAACTTTTGTGGGAAAATGGCCTGATCTAGAAAAACGGTATACCCATCCGTATTAACAATTTTTGTGTAATTTCAAAACTTAGGATTTTCCTTAAAGTCTAACACCCAAATACATAAAAAATAACAAAGACTTTAACTGCTTTAGAAATTGAAAATTTGTATGAAAATGTCACTTTAGAGAGCTCTTTAAATCTATTTAATTTTTATGAATAAGGCCATAAGTATACAACAATTTAATAGGCTATACAACTTGCATGCCTAAATATTTTATAAAACTTCAATGAAATAACTTAAATTTTAAGTATTTTTTTATGACATTTTAATTTTTTCGTCTGCATTTTTTTCGTTTTGCGGTAACCGTATAGTTGACTTCAACTAGTTTTTATAAAACAACATTTAAAAAAAAGTGACTCTCGTTGCACTATGCTCTGCAAACTTAAATAGAAAGTAATAAAAATTCAAAAATTGTGCTCGAAAAGTCTCGTCTAAATCTTATTAGCTTTAAATTAAAAAAATTCCAAAGCGATTGAACAGAAAATTCCAGTGTGGCACCACTGTGCATCGGGTCCAGTGACCTTGCCCCAAGCAAGTGGCTCTCTTGATACTTCCAGCTGTAGCAGCTAACCAGAAAGCATCTGGCGAGCGATTTAAATATGCTTGTACCCGCTCAGTGCTTTGTTCATTGCGATTGATCAAAGATATGTGTAGTTAGTTAGTTTTCTAGCTTTTTATGAAAAATTCCAAAATAACTGAAACATCCGGACTTTTATTTTTTTAGTCCAGTAATAAAAGTTTAACTTGGCCAAATATGTTTTAAGGCCGAAATAAAGGCTCTTTCCTAATAATATACAAACCGCTTATCTATTTAAATTAAACAAATTTGTTATCAAATGAAAGAAATAGATTTCAAATAGGTATATCTAAACGAAAGTTGCCACCTATTAAAATATTTTTTTTTTAATTTAAAAAAATTTACTGGACTAAAAAGTCCGAAAATAACTTTTTTCTAAAAGCATTTATTATAAAAGTTATAAAGGGCTAGCTCCCTAAATTCTACATAAGAAATGCACTTGAGAGTTCAAAAGAAAGTAGTCTTCATAAAACCATGTAGCAATTTTTCTAAATACCATAGAAGTTCTTCATTGCAATGTTTTTCTATTTTGATTTTTCCTTCGATGTAGAAAAACTTCAAATTGCATGGGTTCACTAAATCAGCTCTTGTATTTGCTGTATTGTGCTTGTTTGTTAGCAATATTATTACTTTTGCTTTCATAGTTTCAGTTTTGATTAGATCCCTCGAGGGTGGCATGTTGGCAGCACGTACAACCTATACATAAATAAAATTGATATGCAACCAGCGGCGGCCCAATTGAGCTAGCTGGAGAGTTGTGTGTTTAGTTGCTCAGTTGCCGCGGAGGCAAGCATTGAGCTTGAGGAAAATAAAAAAGTTTTGACAGCCAACAATGATGCATCATAATGCTAACAAATGCGAAAAAGGGCAAGCGCTTCAAAAGTTTAGTAGAAGTGGGTATGTGTGTGCGTGTATATGTGTAATACAAATTAAAACAAAATATCCAGTTAGAATGCCATAAAAAAACACACAACGAAGACACTGCTGAAGTATTACTAGAAAGCCTGCTACACTCTAAAAAGTAAATGTAAAACTGCTACTGAAAAGTGTTTATTTTTCTAGCAGAATCTGTGAAAACATATGCACAAGATGTTCAAGAGATTCGATTTTGAACATGAGTTGTTTAAAATATACACATAAAATGTTAAAAATTACAAAAATTTTGGAAGTAAAAATAAAAAATAAAATTTGGCATGTAAAAGTAAGCAGACAGTATTTAATTTTGCACACTTTAGGAGAGGAAACTTGTTACCTCTCTTTATATGCGTAAATTTAAACAAAAATTGTTTAGATGAAACTTTAAACATTTTATGTGTAAACTGTGAAGTTGTGAGCATGAATGTTTAGAAGTCAAAAAACAAATTTAAAATTTGTTCTACGCCACACAAAGGATAAGTAAAAGTATAAAAGAAGTGTTTAATTTAATTAACACAGTGGGTAAATTTGTATTCATATGCGCAAATTTAAGCAACAAATTTTTTAGAATTTATACCCTAACGCCTTTCGCACAGAAAATTCTGCCTTCTTTTGAAAAATCCGTGTAGGGATGCTGGGTACATTTATTCGACTAAAGATAAATACAAGGAAGCTGTCTGACTGCCAACTCGAATATACTAAAGCAACATTTGAGAATACCGCACTCCACCAAATTGTTACCGGTATCGAACAAGTTTTGGCTTATAACCAACAAACACTAGGTGCTGTTCAAGATACCAAAAGAGCTTATATCAGCGTCAAACTTTAAGCGATCGCAAAGCCACAGCCCCATGTTGGGCTGCATCGACCTTTGGTGGGTTTGGTCGATCTTCTGTTAAATAAAAGTGTAATTAATTTTGAAAAGTGCATTCTCTGACGAAATACTCTCTTAGATCTTACATTAAATGGTGAACACCTAACTTGAGTGCCTATATGGCATAGTCTGCCACGCCTTTGCTTACTCAACTGGTGAACACTCACACGAACTGTTGCAAAGCGCGTTAAGTATTCCGGAACTCTGGTAAAAAAAGGCAGACTGAATGGCTAAGCATGCAAAAATAGTTCGTTTCACTTTATAAGGAAAACTAAAATTCCCTTATTTCTACGTCCAAAACTAAACGGTGTGGTACCATAGCTCTAAGATAAAGTGAAATACACTGCACTTTGGCTTATCTTATTTTTTTAGCAACTATCTACTTTTATAGCCAAGCAACTAGTTATAAGATTACTGAACTGCTGTGGAACCTCGTCGATAGTGGCCACTAAAAAGTTAGCACACATATTTGCTATGGGTACCAAGTCATGCAAGGACATACAGGTAAGCTTAATTGCAAGGAAGACAAACTTGTGAGGACAGGAACTTGCCTATTTGGCGTAATTGTTCTTCGAAAAAGAAAGTAAGGTGGTCAGAATATACTTGTAGGATAACCTTACCAATTTCGCCCAACAGCAACAAGAAAAGGTTGGCCCATTCAGTCGTCTAGAATGTTTTTTACTTCGATCAGTGACCGCAATCATAACCTCACCAGCAGCTACTTAATGAGTAGGCATGTTTGTGGAATGAACCTGCCGGCCAATAACAATGCCTCAGCTGCTGCAATGAGGTTGAAAGTGAAAAAATAAAGGACTATCACGGCCACTGTCTGCAATAGAGAGGATAGAATACGCCCATTTTTACCACGACGCAGTGTTATAAGGCCTTAGGAAATAACGCCACATGACTTATTTTATTTCACATTGAGAAATAAGGCCATATTTTTGCGTATTGTCTTAATTATCACTGTGAAAGTGAAATAACGCCATTATCACGTCATTGATAATTTTTTGTGTAATGTTTACTTAGCGCATAGCTAGTACGAATATGGAAAGTTACTCGGTAATTTTCTAGTTTAAACAAAAACCAAATATGTAGGGAGGGTTACCAATCGACCCGTTTTAGGCTCCTTTTACACCCCCTTTTACGGCTAACCAAATATTCCTAAGGTACAGAGAATTATATTACATTAGATAGATATTTGGTGCTGATGTCATGTGTGAAGTAAATCAAATTGCAAATAAGTTTAATATTAAGCAAAACAAGTAAGAAAGTCTAAGTTCGGGCGAAGCCGAACATTAAATACCCGGCGCAAGTATTAAATATATGTTTTTTCACCTTTCCGAAACCTTCCGCTAGATGGTATGCCGGGGTGTATCAATTTTGAGTAAATTAGCGTCCTTCAATTTCGAAATATTGAAGTTTCAAGCATTTCTGAAATTTACCTTTATATGAGAAGCGGCCGTTATTTTAGTCCGATTTCAATAATTTTCAACGTTTTGCTTATATGTGGCAAGCACAATAACCACACCGAGTTTGGTACAAATTGGTAGAACGGTTACCGATATACTTATATGAGATCATAAGTGGGCGGTGCCACGCCCATTTTCCAAAATTTTACCATAAACGTATTTCTTGGTAAAGAATTGTTGCAAGCATCAATTTTGAATAAATTAGCTTCAATATTTACTGATTTATCGAAGATTTTGTATTTCTCTAAATTACCGTTATATGGGATGTGGGCGTGGTTATTGTCCGATTTTAAAAAGTTTCGGCGGTTTTTTATGCTGTACCAAGGCCAACAACTGTGCCAAGTTTGGAAGAAATTGGTGCAGCGGTTACCAAGATATACACATGTAACCATAAGTGGGCGTGGCTACGCCCATTTTCCAAAAATTTATAATATTCTTATTTTTCGTCTAAAAAT